GAGAGATTGGGGAGAGGAGGGAGAGTGGGGCTCCTCAGGGGTAGCAACGGAGGTGGGGCGAAGAGTCCTCTTCCACCCTGGAACTATGCAAAAGCTAGGAATGGAGTTGTAACACAGTTACTTTGAGTTACTTTAGTTTAGGGTTGCCTTTACGCTTTAGTTTATTTTAGTTTTAGGCCAGCTTTTCCGTCACTAGTGTCTGTGCCGCTGGGATGGAGGAGGGCGGAAGAGTGCGGGGTGGGGGTAGGGGGACTCACTGTCCCCACCCCTTAGATCCACCTGTAAGCACAGAAGTAGTTTGATGCTTTGAGTTGCAAGTTTAGAATATCTAACTTCGGCAGAAATCCAAAATTCAGTGAATATTTCTGCTGTTTTTGGTTCCCGACCAAAGCAACTTAGCTTTTAATCATCGTGGGCTTATCCAGCAGTTAAAGCTAACTGATCGCTTTGGATAAATTTTAGAAAAAAATAATAAATAGAAACCGCATATTTTGGTTCATCATCGAGCAGTGCTGGGAGGTCGAGCAGCCGCTGGAAACCATCTTTCATCTTTTCGACATCGTTCAAGCAGTATGCAGTGAGAATCAAATTGAGTGCCATGTTGTAGTCGCCTTTCTCTTCCATGCAGTGTTCGAACGTGCTCGCCGCTTCATCGTATTCACCACATTTGATGAAAGCAACGCCAATGTTATTCATTATTTTAATCCTGAAAATCCTTTTTTCTTGTTTCCTCTGATAAGAAAAATCAACTAGCTTTTTTTTAGTCCAGTCTAACTGTAAAAAGAAAAAATGAGACACGCAAACGGGAGAAGAGTGGAGAAATTGCCAGATGCATCAGTTGCAAGGAAAAATGTGACAGTGAAACAACGGCTGGTCCAAGCACCAAAAAAACTGTAGTCATAATTATTATAGAGATTTGCTTTGGCTATAAGGAATAGTCAGTTTTTACTAAGTGAATTTGATTAAAAATAGACAATTCAACTCCTATGCTACTTATTAACTCTGATTCCTGTCACTGTGAGTCTAAATTTGGCCAGAAAAGTGTTGAACTCAACCCACAAATATTTGCGTATGTTAGCGCTCCAAAAATCTTGACCGGGAAACAAGTGAAGATGCGGATTTTGTTACCGTGAGTCTCAAACTCAAAAGATTTTAAGTGAACTGCTCTTCTTGGTACTGCATTGTTGGCCTAGCGTAAATGCAAGTACGGATATCTCAAATGCCTTTTGCTTTTCTGGAAGTTCGGCACTTGGTCCAGCGCCATGCGATAATATTTGATTGCTTTCTTGTAGTCCTTTTGCTTGAAATAGATGTTGGCAATGTTCACTTTGAGACGGCTCGAGTTCGCGAACATTTTGTTCTTTACGATCACCTGATAGGTATTCAGCGCTTCTGTCAACAGGTTATTCGCCATGTACTGTAATTCACTGCATTGTCCAGGTTTTTGCGGGATAAGAAAAATTCATATTTTCCTCCTCACTCTCTATTGAAAAATTCTACTGAAAAAGGAGGTGTCTTTGCAAAAATGAGAATGAATTCCAGCAAAATGAATACAGCAAACGAATGCGCTACCTCACATAACAATGGCCATGCTCACCAGGACGTCCAACCAAATAAATCACTATAATTTCGAGTTCTTTATTTACTCCATTCACAAATTATAGTGTCAGTTTGTATTTTTATGCAGTGAGGCTGAATCATGGCTAAGTGTAAACTGAAGA